CTTAATCAGCTGGCACCACCTAAGTATAAGTGGCAGGCAATCCCAGGAAGAGCCCAGCAGAGATATGGGCCTTACTAGCCAATTATTCACCCCTACTTTGCAGATTAGTTACCATAGATCAGAAATGGGGGTGCTAATTGTCACCTCCTTGGTGATTGCCAAGTTTTCTGAAATCAGGATAAGCAGGATTGTGACTCCTGAATTTTAGAAATCTGGCTCTGTTCCCACCTTGATAGTGAAACTGCTTTTTTTAAAAAAAAACAAAATTAGCTTTTTATATTAAATTTTTATTGCTATTGAAGTAATATTATTTTACATCCTTGCTAGTGTTCCAACAGTACAGGAGTCCCCCCAACCAGGTGTAGTCACTGTAGCCCTTTCTTCCACCAAAGCACTCACAGTCCTCCACTGCAGTCTGTTGTGTTGTTTCAGACTCTCTCCCTCCTCCACCCCCTATGAAAGCCCGAGATGAATGGTCAGTTTTCAAGGGTTGGTTCTAAAGTTTGTCTTTTACCCTTTGTTTGGGTTTTCTATATTCCATATATAAGTAATGTCATCCAGTATTTATCTCTGCCCTTCTGGCTTGTTTCACTTAGTATAACCCCTTGAAACTGTTTTTACTACATCGTTCTTGCCTTCCAGATTGCCAGCTGTTTTCAGTATCCCATGTTGGGACACCACCACAACAGGTCACACTCGCACCAGGAAACATCCTGCTCCCTGCCCATCTCGGCTTTCTCAGATGGTCAGTCTCTGCCACTTAATCGGCCCCTTTATTCTCCCTTTAATATGCTTACCTGGCAATGTGACCTTGTCTCAACACTAGGACCTGCACTCTCCTTGCTACCTTAGGGAGTGCTCAGTGTAGTAAACTGTACTTCCAGCTTCCTGAAATCTACTAGATGTCTTCAACTGTGTGTCCCACAGGGAACCCCAAATTAACATCTCCCAAATGGAATTAATTTATCCTTTAAACTAATTCTTCTATACATTGGTTTGACAGAAGAATGAGTCCCATATATCAAATGTGACTCATATCCTGGACAATGTTGTCAATAGCTGCAGGTGTTGATCCCTCTGCACCCCGGGAGCTGGCCTCTCCTCACTCTCTCTTTACTCACTCTCTGTGCTCAGGCTCGAGTAACCCTCATGTGCCTTCCAAGCAGTCTTTTCTAGCTTCTCTCCCAGGACCACACTGGCCTGAGTCATAAGAGCAGTGAGACTGTATTTTATTAAACCCCTAAAACTGGGGAATTTTTCTGCAATTGTCTACCCTCATCTATTAAGTAGGTAATTAAGAAATGCACTTAAACTTTTAGTTCCATTTCTCTCCCTGACAGGAAAACAACTGGGATAGATTTGAACCGGAGATGGATCAACTTGGGCCTCTCATGCTTCACTTCAATCATGCCAAATGGGGGAAACACTTAAGGAGTTAAGCCTGTTCACTACTGTTAAGTGATATTCCAAAGTCACAAGTTATGCTAGCTATACAGAAGTCAGAAAAAAATCTGTTTCAAAGGTCAACATAATGAAAGGTTTTTTTTTTTTTTTTTTTTTAATCTAGCAGGAATGGAAATTGGAAAGAGCTGGTGGAAACTCTCTTCTTCCTGAAAAAGATGAAATTTTTATCAGCCAGCCAAATTTTTTCATGACTAAACTTAACTCATCTTCCCATCTCCCAACCCCAGTTTTTCCCTCTCGCTTTATATTCTTTGAGGGTAAGGAAAGTTTACTACTTAAAGGAATTGCCTCTGAAGTAAATATATAAAACTGCACACTGCATACTTGTGAATTCAAGAACTTTGAGGACATCTTCAATCATCAAAACTGTCATATGCTTATAAACTTCAGTCCCTGAGTTCATCTGAGTTCCAATCTCCCCAATCCTGGAAATTCTAAGAACATCACATTTCTTAACCAGCAAGTAAGATTCAGAAAGTACAACTTAACGACTGGGATAAATGGAAAGAAATACACCTAAGCCAATACCACTCAGATTATTGAATAGGCTCTACCTAAAGATGTTACTTTTGTTAGTAGATATTTTTCATCTGCTAATGCTAATTCGGAAAGATTTGTTCACTAAAATATACAGTATGGGAAGTGAGATTTTCTAAATGGTAGCATGATATGTGATAAACGATATTTGAATATACAATGATATATTTATAGATGGAATCACATTAGAATTAAGGAGGGAAGTTTCGAATTTTTCTAAACTTAACAACCTGATTAATTGTAATCAACGTCTAAGTGAAGTTTTCCTATCTGTGACTGAAATATTTTTTTATTGTGGTTAAATTATTTTTAAATATATAAAGAAAAATACAAATAAATTATAAAATACTGGGCCTCCCCAGTGGCACAGCGGTTGAGCTTGAGCGCTGGGTTGCGAAGCTGCCCGCAGCCTCTGCAGCACCGGTTCGATCCCGGGCTGCTCCCGGCCACCGGAGGAGGGTCCCACATGGCGCGCAGACCTCTCCTGCCGCCCGCTGCTCCCCTCAGCAGTGTACCTCGGTCCTTCTGCCTGCTCTGCTCCCCGCTCTGGCTCTGGTGAATTCTCTCACCCTCCCGCGCTTCTGACTGTACCCAGTGCTTGTATAAATAAATAAATCAATCTTTAAAAAAAAAAGAAATTATAAAATACTACTAATTTACATTTGCTAGACACTTTGGCCATTTATAGTGCCAAATTTGATTTACACCATGCCCACTGTTTTGATGTCAGGCTCACCAAAAACTCTTGATTCTGTTGTTGGGTAGAAATCTAAAGAGACCCATTTGTCCTAACTTTAAAAGTTGATTGGCCTTTTTATTTTTAGAATTATTATTTTAATGAGGTTAGTTGTGGTCCTCCATGATATTGTATATAAAATGTGATCCTGTGTCAAGGATTTTGACCTCAAAGAAGTAGAAGACCAATTCCATAGATTTGGCATATGGCTCTCAGCTTTTATACCATTTCTCTAACAGGTCACAACTGCAGGTCCTGGGCTGAAAATAACCTACAATTATGTATGGCTCTATGTTTTTCCTGTTCATTTTTTAAATTTTTAACTAGCTGCTAATATTTGAAAGTTAGGGAGCTTCATTTTGGGCTTCCATATTTCCTGGGCATATATGGCAAGCTCATTAACAACGGAACCAAACTGCCTCAAGGTGGCAATCAACTCAGCAGCAGACTGGCATTTTGGGCTGAGATGTCTCTGTCCTCACTATCCTGCCTAAACTCCAAGTTCAAGATCAGGTGTTGTCCATCATTTTATTCACATTGGAGTTTGTCTTTCACCCATCCCATTTCCCTCAAATGACTTCAGCAGTTTTCTACAGGTATGCGTCTGTAGTTTGTCCTTAATTGTAAACATAATAATAGCAAACCATTTCCATCGAGCTTAATAGAGTCAAAGACTTTCCTAAGTATTAAACATGAGTTAACTCAGTTACTCTTCAGAATAACCCTAGACAGGGAACATGATAAGCACCCCATTTTACAGATTAGGAAACTGAGACACCAAGAAGTTGAGAACTCACCCAAGGCAACACACATATCACTGTGTAGTATCAGGCTCACAGGCAGGCCTCGGAGAACCTAAGACCCCAGTCATCAGGCTTTATTTCTGCATACAGTAGAAGGCTCCACATAACTACATTGTCAATGCCCTTTCAATTCTGTTCATTACCCCCAGAAGAGAGACCCTAATAATACTAATGTCTTCTTTAAAGTACCTAAGAAACAAAAACTTGGGTACAAATTGCACCTTAGGTAGCATTTTATTTAGCTCCATGGCATTGTTTTAGACAAGCGGTCCTTCCTCTAAGGCTTTGTTGCTATCAGAGGCAGTTATTACAAAAAGACAATGGGATGGTCACAAAAGGCATTGGTCCTAGGTTCAAGGATCGGTCTTGTTTTCTAGAACAATAATTAGTTTGATATTTGCAAACATATAAAATTTACAGTACTTAATAAAAATGATGATAAAGATACATGAGCCCTACATATGTCATTTTCTATGCAACTACCAACCACCAACTTCAACTTTTCATTACCAAATTAAATGCTCATTTCATGCTTATGACCAAAACATATAGAATGTTTATCTCCTATGTGAAATTTTCAGAAGCCTTAGATTATTTTCCTCTGCTCCCAAATGGACTTGAAACAAAGATATTGGCTCTTCCAAATACATCACATAATTTGCAGTTTATAGTGAAACCTTTGAATCAATATTTATTTTCATGTTGCTTTTCTTCTCTTGTATAAAGGTTGAAATTTTTAAGATTTGTATTCACACATATTTTAATCTAAATGACAACTAAATGATAGTTTACTATCCCCATGTTAAAGACAAGGAAGATTTGAATCTTGGTCCATTTGAGTCTTAAATGTTGGTTAATTCTACCACCCCATAATACCTTCTAGATGCTCTTGAGTTATTTGCTGCTCAGTCAGATTTTTAAGTACCCTGTGCTCTACTGGGTCACTGGAGGGTCTACTTTGGGAAATCTGCAATATATAGTCTAAGACTAAGGACACCACCAACCTGGAGGCACACAGAATACAAGGTCCAAAAATGAACAGAAGAAAGAAATCACAACACATAAAAAATTGGAATCACATTGAAGCTAAATTAGTTCTTTCCAAATGGGACAGATACATGCTGAACCAATTAGGAGTCTGAAAGATGTGGAAAGAGAGGATGAGAAGGAATAATGAGAACCTATGTAGGAAAATTCTTGAAAGACAAAAGCTGAAAATTCTTAGTTCTGGAAAGTGCTGGATAAAAGAACTCCATCTAGAGCACATAATTTATTTTAACACATCATTCTCACATTTTCTAGTCTAACAGAACTGAAACACAAAGTGGTTTAAAAGTGACAAGCCTCTTCCAACTATGTAAGCAGGGAAAGCATCAGAAATCCTGGTTTAAAAGAACAGCAATCATTCTCAGCAGAGGGATAGGGAGCATATTGCTGAGCTGAGATCTCTGTGAACTTACAGGACTGTGGTCATCTGTGGCACCTGAGGAATGTGATCCAACATCAAGTGCATGCAGTGGACAGTACTCTTCAAGCAAAGACACCGACTAGGGCAGGCTAGCACTGGCAAGCACCACACCACCAAGAGAAAGGAAGTGGTCCAGCAGAAGAATCTGTGTTCCATGGCTCCCTTCACTGCTGGAGGCGAAGCAGCAGAAGGAAGAACAGCTGCCGTGGTGGCCGGTGGCGGCGAGGCAGTGGTTGCTGCTGGGCTGGCTGAACCCAGCTTGGGAGCCCTAGTTCAGTGCAGCTCCCAGGGAAAATGCTGCATCTGACCAATCCAGAAGAAGGAAGATCACATTACAGGCTTGAGGGCAGCAAGCCTAGGGGGTGCTGGACTCCCAGACATCAGGAGAAGATTTTTGGTGCAAATGGTCTCTTTCTGAAGATACATAATATCTCTAGGCAGCATAATAAAAACACAAACTTTTCTAAATTTGCTTCCACTGCACATTTTATTTAAAGCCCCAGACTTGTAGCCTCTAGCTGATCTTTTGAAGCTCAAGTTGATTAATTATTTATTGGATCCATGCAAAACGACTTTTCTTCTTTTTATCAGCTAACATTACCAAATCCTAAAGGTCAGACAGAGTTTTAATTAGTTGATCTAGTAGCACATACTCCCTCCCTACTCCAGACTATGCTCTCAAAAAAATGTTTTCATTTCCTTCTGTAGATTTTCTCCTGAAATCAATAGCACTTCACTCATATATGACTGAAATCAGTTAATTCTGGCTTCTTCCTTTAGTATTTAATGTTTAAAACATGATGGTTAGACCATGAATGAATATACCTACATGTCTAGGAGACACACTGAAAGTTAAACATGTGTGTAAAGTTTGTAATATAGAGCAAGCCTGAGCCTCCTCTGAACTCAAAGTCTGGAGACACATTTCTCATGAGCAGTTTTTTTTGTTTGTTTGTTTAAATTTTTTTTAAATAGAGGCATGTTTTATTTATTTATTTGTTTGTTTGTTTTGTTTACACATGCACTGGGTACAGTCAGAAGCGCAGGAGGGTGAGAGAATTCACCAGAGCCAGAGCGGGGAGCAGAGCAGGCAGAAGGACCGAAGTACAGTGCTGAGGGGAGCAGCGGGCAGCAGGAGAGGTCTGCGCGCCATGTGGGACCCTCTTCCGGTGGCCGGGGAGCAGCCGGGGATCGAACCAGCGCCACAGAGGCTGCGGGCAGCTTCACAACCCAGCGCTCAACCGCTGCGCCACCGGGGAGGCCCCTTGTTTGTTTTTTAAGATTTATTTATTTATACAAGCACTGGGTACAGTCAGAAGCGCAGGAGGGTGAGAGAATTCACCAGAGCCAGAGCAGGGTACAGAGCAGGCAGACTGATGAAATACACTGCTGAGGGGAGCAGTGGGCAAGACAGGAGAGGTCTGCGTGCCATGTGGGACCCTCGCCCAGCAGCCGGGGATCGAACCAGTGCAGCAGAGGCTGCGGGCAGCTTCGCAACCCAGCGCTCAACCGCTGCACCACCGGGGAGGCCCTCATGAGCAGTTTTAACTGGCCACATTCACTGAGGTGAGAATTGGTCCCAGTGACACTGTTGAAAACAGCAGACTTCTTCAATAAATATGCAATTAAAGATATAATTTTGTTCACTCTGTAAGTCGGTAACTTAAGGAAGCCTTTTGGTTTTAGTTTTAAAAACTAAAATGTTCAAACTCATGCCTACACAAGCACTTTAAAAAATGTAAAAATATAGAAAAACAAGTTAAAACGTGAATGGTCCAATCTAGGCAACAATCCCAGGTGACAGAGTGGGAGACAAATCCAGTGCTTGGAGAGTTGGTTTTGTCAAATTTTATCAACCATATGAGGAAAAATAAATCCATTCACCTTTTCTCCAGCAATTCTTCAGTCCTGTTTTATTTTGTAGGTGAACACTGCCCTCTTTTGGCAAAAAGGTTCAAAGTTAAATTCATGTGGATTTTTGGTTAAATATCGACGATCAGGAGGAAAATTTTAATTTCTATGAACAAGAATGATTTACTTAACTTTAAATATGCTTGACATTGTTCAACATACTTTATTGCCTAAGTATGTTAATAAACCAAACAAGTCAATTTCTTCCTTCAATCCCAATCCTGCAACTATACTCTTGCTGAAGTTTGTGATTTGGAGGACAGGAGACATGCAGATTTGTACATTGTTTTCAACTCAAAATATAGTATTATGTAGACTCATAAAGCCTTTCCCCAGAAGACTAAAACATTTCTATTTTATGAATCTAATGTTCAATGTGAAAATATCTACTTACTATTTGTAAGTTCTTTCTTGTAATACCTTACCACCTCTCTCCAGCCTAAAAACACACTTGCTGGATAAAATAAACTCATTTTTAATGCACCAATGTGCTGAGAAAGTTAGAAAGATATCTAAGTCCAAAACTGAAGTGAAAGTGGGACACCAGTAAGGCAAGAAAACACAGAAGGTTAGTTAAGCTTAGAGTATTTGTTTAACCAAGTGAAATTACATTCCTATTTTCAAGTAGAAGGGGTACGGAAGAAGAAAATTCCTTTCTGAAGTGGAGTGTCTCAAATGGAAAATCTGCATGTTCATTAAGTTTATGGAAATAAAATAAATTTTACTCACACCCAAACCCCCTACACCTCCCATCCACTCAGAGAACATATGAAAAAATTGCCTATTTCAATAGAAAGGGAAGAATAAAAATCTCTTTGGAGATGCAGAATCTCCAAATTAGCTTTCACATGAATTTTCAGGGTATTCCACCTGAGTAATCTGAAAACCTTAAAAGTGAAGATTTAAAGGGGTTGTGAGCTAGCAGTGGTTCTGGCAAAAACAACCCATCCCTCTAATAATTCTTACATATAAAGTTCTTCAACACAAGCTTGTTCAAAAACAACAAAATATGAAACAAAGCTATAAAAGCTAACCATCAGAAACATAAAGAAGAGAAAGTTATCTTACATAGTTCAAATATTGGATTTAGGTATGGAATATGAAATAATTTTGGTTCAGTGTGTTTAGAGAATTAAACATACTAATAAAGAACAGGAGGATTAAAGACCTTGGGAACCAGTGCATTAACTCAGACCAGGCCACGTAGGGACCCACCTTACAAAAACAACCCTCAGGTGCCCTCGTGGAAGCACCCCTGACATTAGGACTTCTGATGAGCACCTGGGGAAGTGGTACCCACTGGACAATATTGACCCTAAGGAAAAAACTCCTGAACACAGGGCCACCCACTAGCACCTTGGGAACATGTGCATATTCCAATTCAGGCTGTACACGGCCCAGCCCAACTGCAGCAAATCCCAGCTGCCCTCTTGTGAGTGCCCTGGTCCAATGTGAAAGGGGTGGAGACACAACAAGCAGAGGCCAACACCACATAAGTAAGATTCTGAAAGCAATGGGCAGATAAAATAACTCAGAAAATGGTCACGGGAGTCCCAAGGGGACTACTTCATCATAAAGAGAACATATCTCCAGAACCCAGTTACAAAGACATGGAAAATCTATTCTTCCCATAGGGACACAGACGTCAAGAACTGCCATCATTAAAAAAATTCAAAGAAGTCAGATAAGACCTAAAGAAGGAAGATGGAAGAGGAAAAGAGAAGTGAAGCAAAAAAAAAAAAAAGAGGAAAAGCAATGTAAGAATAAGGGGTGGGGTCTCCCCGGTGGTGTGGCGGTTGAGTGCTGAGTTGCGAAGCTGCCCGCAGCCTCTGCAGCACTGGTTCAATCCCCGGCCACCGGGTGAGGGTCCCACATAGTGTGACAGACCTCTCCTGCCATGCCCGCTGCTCCCCTCAGCAGTGTACTTCATCAGTCTGCCTGCTCTGCTCTCCGCTCTTACTCTGGTGAATTCTCTCACCCTCCCATGCTTCTGACTGTATCCAATAAATTGGGCCTCCCCTGGTGGCGCAGGTGGTTGAGCACAGCGCTGTGAAGCTGTCCACAGTCTCTGAAGAGCAGGTTCGACTCCGGCCAGCCCAAGTGGGTCCCACATGGCAAGCAGACCTCTCCTGTCTCGCCTGCTGCTCCCCTCAGCAGTGTATTTCTTCAGTCTGCCTGTTCTGTTCCCCGCTCTGTCTCTGGTGAAACCTCTCGCCCCCAGCATCTCTGACCTATACCCCGGTTCTTGTATAAATAAATCGTTTTTAAATAAATAGATCTTAAAATAAAAAAAAGAAGAAGGGGTATCCAGAAGGGCAAGACAGATAAAAAGAAATAGAGAATATATTTAAAGAAATAAAACTTCCCAAACCTGGAAAAGGAAATATACAAATCCAGGAAGCTAAAAGAACACTGGTATACATAAACAAAATGAGAATACCACCAAGATATAGTGGTGAAATTTCCAAGGGTTCAAAACAAAGAAAGAATACTGAAGTTGCCAAGGGGGAAAAAGCAAATAACCTATAAGGGACTCCCAATCAGACTAAGATTAGATTCCTCAGAAGAAACACTGCAGGAAGAGAGAATAGAATGGAGTGATTGAAAAATTTTGAAGACAAAAACTGCAAACCAAGAATACTGTACCTTCAAGGCTTCCCTTTAGATATGAAGGAGAAATAAAGACCTTCACAAAGAAAAACTGAAGGAGTTTTCAAAAATACATGGCTTTCCAAGAAATACTGAAAGGAACACTAGTATATAAGCTAAATAGAGAAATACTTAAAAAGAACTGAAAAGTGAAATAGCAGCACCATACTTTCATATATCAATATTCACTAAAGGTTAGCAGAATAAATTCACCAATAAAAAGACACAGAGTATCTGGATGGATTAGGAAACAGAATCCAACCTTCTGTTGTCTCAAGGAGACACACCTAAATTACAAAGATAAACATGGACTCAAGGTAAAGCATTGGAAAACAAGCCTACATGCTAAAGGGACTCAAAGGAAGGCAGAGACAGTCATATCAGACAAGTAAATGCCCAGTTAAAAAAGGTTTACAAGAGACAGGTGGGCACTACATAATAATTAAGGGAACAATATATCAGGAGGACATAACAATCATCAACAAATACTCACCAAGTAAAAATTACCAAAATACATTAGGCAATGACTACCAACTCAGGAAAAAAAAAAATTGGAAAACACTTGTGGTAGAATTCAACACTTCATTCTCACCAATGGACGCAATGATAAAAAAAATAGAAACATAAAAATTAAAAAAAACATTACTCCTTATGGACCTAATAGAAATCTTTTTTTTTCTTTTTTCAAAAGATTTATTTATTTATACAAGC